CAAGCCTTTGGTCTTACCATTGATCAACCAGTGGGGAAAAATGAGAAAAAAATGAGAATTTTGATGCTGGTTATTACATTTTTCAGGTTGGGAATCAATTTCAGGCTCACAATAAGGCCCTCTTCCATGGACCTCTTTTCCAGTATGATTTGACTGGCACCAGAGGCAGGGCTACACTGCACATACAATCATTCACCCCTCACTAAGCAAAGTTATAAGGTTTTACGTCTTCAGTTAGCAATCCCCCTAAAACACGTCTGATTTGATGCATAGGAAACTGTCCTGCTTCTAGTTCATTTTAAAGTTCAGCTCATCTTTAAGAGCTTTGCTGAACCACAGCCTAAGTGCTTGTATGAGCTTGAGACAATGATCACACTCTAGTTTTTCTCTTCCTCTTATGTTGTATGCAAAATGTGATATATCTCAAAGTAAGCAACTAGCAGCAATGTTCTCAAGGAGGGGAGACTCAACAAGGAGGCTGAAGTCTTTCTGCGTGTGTAATCTACAGGACAAGAGGTAATGCAGGAGATCTGCAGGGTTCTCTACAGGAATAACAGCCAGTGGAAGTAAACTCATGAACAGCAAAGTTCTGCCTCCCAATATCAAATAGCAAAATCAACTCACTTCCCATAAGTCCAGCTAATTTCCAGATGATCAGGCTTGTATGCTTTGGGAAGTGTATGTATGAAGATGTAGCTTCTATATTACCTGCTTATTGAGAAGACCTTGTTTGTCTGAATGGTAACCTGCCATGTCAGGTTTGTGGTAAACATATACACATGCTCAGATGACACATTTTTAAATAAAGAGTGATGAATTGAAAGGTATTTAATTTCAATGCGTCAAGGGAAAGAGGTTTTCTTCTCCTAACATGAAACTGGAGGAAGAAACTTCTCTACCAGGAGACAGCAGCAGGGATGGAGACACAAGCAGGTACTGTAAAATGGTCACGGTCCTGAAAACATTCAGGATGTTTTCCAGTATCACTGAAAAGTAGAAACCACTCATACCTAGAGGAAAAATACCCCGAAGTGAAGGGGGTGGGGAGAAATCAAGAACTTCGCAGCTAGAAGTGAGATGCTTTCAGTGAAAACAGACAACATTGAAGAAAAAAAGCAATTTGGAAATTAAAAAATATATGGAATAGTAGGTAAAGCTTGGGATCACTTGCAGGTATTTGAACTTTCTCCATTTTTAAATTGCAAACTTGTTCCATTACATGCAATATAAAAGCAAAAGCCTAACCTCCCAGCAAACACTAACACTCCTAACTAAAATAAAAATTATTACACAGAGAGAGAAGTGCAGCAAGAGAGGAGGCCTTAAGCCATATTCATCCATGGAACAACAGAACTTTTGTGATTTCCCTCAACTGCCTGCAAAATAGTCACCTGCCTTATCAAGACAAACTCAGCATCACCAGAAAGGCAGAAGAAAGGGTGACAATAGCTGGCAGATGTAAGGAAGGTGCACTGAGGGAAAGCTTACTGAATGAAAAAGTAGCTTGAAAATAGCAAAACTAAAACTTCAAGGACTTTATATGAAAATTGAACCAAGAAGAAAGAAGACGAGGGTCTGGAGGGATTGAAGCAGCCCCTGACAATGTCAGTCTTTTCCTGGACTTCAGGAAAAGCTGGCCTCACTGAAAAGGATGTGATTAAATAACTCAGACTTTAATGAAAGAGAATATGTTTCGCTAGAAAGGAGCAAAGTCTCTGAAAGACTCCTTATCAGCCTATACTGCACAATGAAGAGGTCAGATTCAAGTGGTACATTAGTCAGATAATACCATCTGAACATTTACTTTCAGCTCACTCTTTTTGATGAAGGCCACGACCAGTAATTACTAATGGATAAGAGAGGTTTATTTGATGGGGACCTGACATTCATTACAGCAGACGCTGGGATGGTTAATTGATCAGAAGGATAGTGAGTGAAAGAGTTACACTAAAAATAACGCCATTAACAGAGCAATGTAAATGTGCTATTGGTCAGCATCATTTCATAATTAGGTCACTTACAAAGCCTTTTGGGTCATTGATGGTGGAACAGCAGCCAAAACCACCAAATATGCCTGCTGTGACAGATGCCCAAATTACTGTTGTGCAGAAACACTACAGGTGCTAAGGAAGAAACAAATCTTACAGCCTATAAATATTTTAGCCATGGCAGATGAATAATAAATTGGTGAGAACAACATAGTGACATGAACTCATGTGAAACTGTACCACACACTGTGAACAATATGGCCAACTGCATTAAAGCAGGACATTTTAAAGAACTTAATTAAGAGCTGGTCATCCGTCTTCTTGATCCTGTTTCATGGCTACCTAATACCTGCCCTAGATACGGACAATGAGACCAGTAAAATAAAAAATGCCGGCTCTCTGCATGAAATAAAACTAAAAGAATCTGTTTCCGTGCTATTGTTCATCAGCTGCTAAACTTGCAGGTAGAGAATATGGTAGCCCCATGATCCAGAGCTGATATGGGTAAGGGAATAACAGTGGTGGTAGATGTATACCAGCAAGAGTAACAATGTTCAAATAGGAAGCAGAAAATAAAAAGCTGTATCATCCACATCTTTTCAACTTCTTCCAAAGAAATAAGCTCACAAATATTGATTTTTACTAAAAAAAACCCAAAATTTTGAAGATGTCCAAGAACTTTCATCCTCAGACTTGGGAGCATACAGATAAAATGGAACTTAAACCTGAACTGACCCAGTCCATTTTCATGCTATGAAATCAAATTATTACTAATTAAGTCCTGGCAAAAACAAATCATCCCTGGCTTTCCCATTAAAGAAAGGAATTTCAGAGCCCCAGGCCCTTGGTATAATAAATCTGAAATCCGTATCGCTCTTCTTGTCTCCACTCCTTCCAAAGCCAAACCTTAATGCCCAATGCCATTACAAATAAAGAACATGCCAACTCTGAAAGGACAAGGAGACTTAACACCACACTCTGGGTACAAAAATACTGTTCCTCCCTAACTTGAAACATAACTCCATTCTGCCAAATTGATCACCAATCAATTTTTGCCTGTGACAAAAAGAATACTGAAATTAGCCAGAGCCTTTCCACTGCCTCTGCCTGACTTTGGATCAAGCTTGTCCTGACCAAAAGCAAATTCACAGAAATAAGCTACAGGTAGATGACAAAGATGTCAATGAGAGGAACATAATTATAGGGATAATTATCAGAAATCACTAGTTAGGCCAAATGCCTTTTCCCCCCAGCTCTCAGATTATAACACACTGATTTACATTGGAATATTATTTAATTAGATCAGCACCAAATGACTCACTGTATTTTGTCATTTTAACGATTCTTTATATTTCTCCAGTTTGATGGGTTAATCACTGCCTATCACAGTTTATGGCCTCTATCTTCTTTATTGTGTTTTGCCTCCCATCAGCTATCCAAGGTGATGTGAACTTTGTGCTATTGACTTTTCTCACTCCTCTGGGGAGGTTGTCATGGAGAATTAAGCTATTGACAAATCAACAGCCAACACACTGAACTCCTTCCTGCACGTCATCATTAGGAATGTGGGAGCCAGCCAACTTTCGGGTTGTGCAGAACCAAGATGTTCCACCACATAAAAGATCCTGAAAACCTATGTATCAGGGCCTGCTCTCATTTAAAGCTCTGCAAAACTGGAGAAAAAGAAGGATTTCATCCTGTAGCTTAGCAAAGTCTTTTTAGAAAAAGTTCAGGCAGCAGAATTAAATGAATGAATTACAGACTTCCTCTGAGAATTTCAATCTTCTCACTAAACACAGTTTCTGTTTCCAGAAGCTGATGTCTTTGCTAGGTGAGACTGAGCAAATGAACTAGGGAGAGATAATTAATACAGTGCTAACTGCAAGAAGTGATGAATAACAATTATCTTTCAAATGCACTTAATAAATGTTAATTTGCTCCTTCTTCATATTATTATTCCAAAGTGTTGGAACTATTCTTATCATCTAGGTAATTAGTCCATCAAAAATATCTAAGTTGTGAGTCAGTACAGTATCACTCCTTAATACAGAACCTCCCATTATTATATAAAAGATACAAATTGATATAAAAGATTTCTGCATTACTAGAAGGTAAAAAACAATGACTTATTTACTGAGAAGTGATAGCTGAAATAGAGATTTATTCTGATTCATATTTCAAAGGCTGTCCTCCCCTCTTTGTTGGCCTGATTTGCTAACAATTTTTGTGGATATGGAATTCAATTGCAGGTTCAGTTTTAGTTTGTTGTCCTGTGGATTTGTCCAGGGGCAAATGATATTCCCAAGCATGCCTCTGCTTAACCAAAAAGAGGTCTCTTAAGGTACCATTAAATATACCTCCTTATGCTCCCCCTCAAACACTTTCTCAAATTTTAATAAAAATGTAATTTCAGAAATGCTTTCTTCCCAAAGCTGTTCCATTGCAAAGTAGTAAAATTAAGTCCAGCTTCTTGTTGTTGCTGTGGTTGTTGTCAGAGTGGATGATGAGCCAAGGAACTTGCACTATATGTTCTATTTTCATTCCCCAATGGAGAGCTTGAGATAAGCTCCTCCAACCAGGGTTATGGAGACAGTGCCAGGAAATGTTGTGGGAGCTGGAGGGAGTGCTGGACAGTCTAGGAAAGCAAAGGGAAAAGCTCCAAATTCAAAACTGAAGCTTTGCAGATCCAAGTCAACTCCTTTTTTTTTTTTTTTTTATGGCAAAATCTACTGCTTAACTTCAGGATTGAAATATGAAAGTATTCAGTTCTCTATTCACTCCTCTATAGTGCTGGTTATGCCAGAACTGACCCTCTTTCCTGCTTTAAGTTAACAGCAATCTTGCACTGTCTTGTTTCATGTCAACTGATAAATCAGTCAAATGATCCTATCACTTTTTAATGAACCAAATTTACTGGAGGTGTGCTCCATCCCCTCCTCTTCTGTAGACTGCAAATACACTTATATTATTACTGTTACAATAATGCAAATCCAGTAGGAGTGAGACCCCTGAGACCTTGCATCAGCCAGATCTATTAATTAAGCTATATGGTGCCATGCAGTGAAAACTTAAAGCTTGTCATGGTTCTGACCTCTATGAAAAGAATATGACTTTTAGTGTAGGTTTGACTTTAGACACTAAAAACTAGCTGTCTAAAACTAAGGTAAACCAAGCTGGTAATCTGCACTCCCAGAACAGCATATGAAGACAGAAAAGGCCCTTCCAGAGAAAAACTTAGGTGCCTAAGGTAAGCGTATGACCCTCCAGGTCTGGTGTATCTCCAAAGGGATTATTATTATTATTATTATTATTATTATTATTATTATTATTATTATTATTATTATTATTATTATTATTATTATTATTTAATAATAATATTGTTGTTATTATTATTGTTATTATTATCATCATCATCATCATCATCATCACTATTATTGGGGTGTGGTTTTTGTTTTGTGTTTTTAAAACTCAGTAGCTCCCCCAGAAGTGTCACTAGACTGAGTGGTCAGCATTATCTGAGAACCCGATATCAGACATGGAAGCAATCAAGGCACAAACGCATAGGCAGGATAACCTTGGAGATGCCATCCTGTAATTTTCCTTTTTTCATAGAGGAAAATAGTGTCTCTTTAATAAGCAGCTCACCCACTTCCCCTAGTCTTGCTGTCGGTTTTGTAGTTATTTCTCTTTCCTTATTCCCTTTCTATATTCCTCCAACTTCTTCCTTCCTCCTCTGCTCACCATATCCACTCTTCTTTTGCCAATAATTATCTCCTGCACAAATATAATCTCTGAATTTATTTTGTCAAAACCAAAACAATCCAGATGCTCTGAAAAATGTTTGAAAATTTTGTATATGAATAAAGCAAATTCATAAACAGAGAGTCTGAGTAGGAAAAGGAAATAAAACTAGTAAGCTGCATGACAAACTTTGCCCTGACCTCCCTGAGTACATCTCTCTGCCCAGACTGATTTGTAAGAATTCCCCATGGAAATACAAGGGGAACATTTTCATGGGACTTTCTGCATCTCAATCCCTCACCCTGACTCCCTTTCTGGTTTTGCATACTCTCATCTCTTCAAGGCAGTGCCCATGTGCTCCTAAGCTTGCCCAAAACTGACAGCAAAATGGGACTGTGAATTTATGGAAGGCCTTTGGGACTAAAGACTGATAAAATCCCTGTGAGAAAGCCTGATATTTTGACATTGGCTTTACTCTGGAAGAAGGGTGAAAAAATCAGAATATTTTCTACAAAAAAACCTCTGATTTTATTATGTGAACAGGAGTCTTGAGACTCCTTGTGAAAATACAGAAAGAACCCCCCAGAGAAGCCAGGGAGGTGCAGTGCAGGAGAGAAAAGAAACGTGAATAACCATATGTAACAACGGCCAGGAAGTCAAAACAGCTAACAGCTCCTTTTGACTCCGAAATCTCTCAGGACATGCAAGAGTTCAAACAGAGCCACAAGCTAGTGCTAATCTCACCTGAAAAGAAATATATCACTGGACATATACAAAGTTAAAAAAAAAATCAGTTTTGCTTCAGATACTTCACTGAGACTTTTAAAACAGAAAACACTGTTTCCTGATACGTCAGCCCACTAGATAAAGAAATACCACATTTCACAAAATGCCACAATATGAAGTCACATCCCTACTTTATGTACAATTCATAAACAGGATCCCCAAATCTGGCAGCCCTGAGGGGACAGGCTGATGTATGGATCGGTGCAGGATCCAGGGGAATGGGAATGGAGAGACTCTCCCATCCACTTTGGACGACAAATTGTGGAAGCTTCCAAGTTTATTAAAACCTCTCCTTCAAAGGAACATGTGAGCCCTATCTCACATCCAAGTGACAGTCTTCCTCTGACTTCTCTGGAGTTGGTAAGCCCTAGATTTGTGCTTATTTAAATGAGCATACACACAAATAAAGCATTGAACTGTTTTCTCTCATGTATGAAATAATGCATGGTAAAAGACTGCCATTACCAAACAGATTAATCTGTCTCTTTCTCTTACTAGTCAGTGAAAATCCAAAGCCTTCATCTTTACCCATTTGACCTACCCTGCGGGTTTGTCCATGTCTCACTATCTGGAGAAGAAGGGACCCCTGATTAAAAGGTATGTTGGGGCATTGGTCAACACAAAGCCAAGGGTCTCATTTCCTCCTGCATTAATATCTCACTACTGTTAATTGCAGTTACGGGTGGATAGGCAATACTGGAGAACAGAGGACATGATTGCTTTGCCATTACTGATTACCTCACATCACACATTCAAAACGAATTTGCTTGTCCCTGCAGTCCTTGGCTCAGAGAAAAAAAAAAAAAAAAAAAAAACTAGGGGGGAAAAAAAGCCTGTTGTTACTGACAGCTGCTCTTCAAAGGTCAAGGTTTACAATAGTTGGAGCACTGCAGGTCACGGCTGATGTGAACTGCACAGAGAAACTCTTCTTGCCCTCCCTGCAGCTTGACTGTAACGAATGTTATCTGTCCCTTTCTCTTTATAAGCTTTGAATTCACATAAAAATAAAATTAAAAAAAAAAAAAAAAAAAAAAAAAAGGAAAAATAAAGCAAATAAAAAATATTTACAGTGTAATCTCTTCTCTGCACACACCTCTTCCAATCAGGCAGCTATGAAAGCTGTCCTCCTGGCAAGATAAACTATCATTTTTTAACAAGGTAGATGGATGCCTTCATACATTTTTAAGCTTGGGACAGGATATATTTTGTGGTTTATTTATAATGACATCAATTACACTTGCTCCTAGGTAATAATTCTCTCCTTTATAATTATTTATGAGGTGATTTTTACTTTTTTGAAAGTTTTATGTTTATTGATGTGTTTGGTTAATGAACACTTAAATGACATGGTCAGTTGCTTTGCAGGATGCTGGAGAACAGCAAAATCAATATGTTCTGCACCTGAGAACAACCATCTTAGTTTTGTAGTAATGATTCCCTGAGCAAGGTCCCAGGAGCCTGAGAGATAATTGCAATTCCACATAGTCAACAGTCTGCTCAGATCTATATAATCACTGTCTTTAGCTGCTTCATTTTGTTTGGTTTTGTTGCGTGTGATCTTTGCCATTAACATCTCTTTCTCTGTGATCTCAACTGGATGGGTTTTGCATCCCAATCCCTCTTTTAGCTTTCATTTTAGAACCTCAACTCTGTTGAATTCAGAGCCCTGTGCTGAGTAGAGAAAGTGGTTAGTTAAGTAGCTGCTTTCTGCCACTCAATTTATCTTTGTTGATTGCTGCCTTTGGAGAATGAAAGTTCACAGCGCTCTGGATAAACATTAAAAAAAAGACATAATAAGGCTTAGTATCCCCAGATGAAGATAATTGATCTCCTCAGTTGCTTTAATATGCAGAGTACAGAACACAGACAAGTGTTAATGGAATAATACATTCTATGGCCCCTCTGTGCTGGGAGGCCGACAGCACTCTGCACCGTGAGGGATGGTAAGCAGTGTTAGCTCCTCCAGTCGAGAAGCTGGAAAAGAAATTTGTCTTCAGGTTGCAAGGCCTTTATAGATGCAAAGGAGAATATATGATGGTATTTCAATCTCCAAAGTGGTTTGTGCTCCGAATGTGGCACAGAGGTCTTTTTTTTTAGAAGGACAGGATCAATGGTTTAGGGCCTTTATAAAGTGCTAATTGTATCTTTAGCCTATTCGTGAAATACCTCGCCCAGCAAATGCACTGATGTAATTAATCAGGTATATTTGTAAGTTAGGTTTGAATGCAGAGCATACAAACTGAGACAGAGCTTAGAAGAGTAAACCAGTCAGGAAAGCATAACAGACTTAATCTGTGATCTCTTACAGTGTGGTCCTGGACCACTTGTGATCTACAAGGCCTCCTTCAATACTCTGCAGAGGGTCCATAAAAGACTTACCAGATGTTTTCACATAAATGACAGTGCATGTCATTCCACAAGATCTTTCAGGATCCGACACTGATCTAAAGTGGTTAAGAATCACCTTCTTCCTGGACTGACACAAGGATGAAAAAAATAAAAGCCTTTTACAGGGTGTCACAACTTTCAGAATGAGGCTTCCTCTCCATGACATTCAGGCAGGGTTTGTTCAGCAGGTCATACAGACAGTCATCTGCCAAGATGCTATAATCAAGTGGTTTTGAGATGCAACCTGATTCAGTCTACTACCAACCACATTAGCTAAAGGACTGTATCCAAGACCTCAGCTACTATAAGCACCCTGTTGCAGTGTCCAGCATGGATTTCAAATGCAGATGCTCTCAGATCAAAGAGAGTATCTGAGAGGAAAAAGGATTTGGTAGAAAGGATAACGATCTGGCTATTTCAATTCGGAGCTCAAGCAGAGACACCTGAAAGAATGTTTTTTTCCTACTAAGCACCTGAAAGCTGAAAACCAGATGTCTGAGCTGGACACCTAAACTATCAGGTATTCTCAGCAGTCACTTTAGAAAATGCAGATCTGAGTCCTTTGGTTAATATAAAACAAGCCAAACATCTTCCAAACGGTCTGGTGAAACCCCTCAAACATACTATTTGGAAAGTTACTAACTGGTAGCTGACAAAACCAATTCTCTCCCTTCATTTACAAAAATGAAAATTGGCATCAATCTTCTGAGTTTCACAATAGACCAGTAGTAATGTTAACATGAATAAATCAACTGGGAAGATGTTTGCAAATTTTGATCAGACAAAGAGATATAGTTACCTGCTGTAAATGAAGATAGCTAACTTTTCTACTTCCATTAACTGTTGCCAAATCTCATAAATGTAAACAGAGAATAAAACCTTTCAGTCACTGAATATGAGTATTCTCCTGGGAAAATCCAGCTGGCATCCAACCTGATTTATGTGCTTTAAAAAAAGCATTTGCTTTATAAGTCTAGGGTGAGCCTTAAAATGTAAGTTCACGTGTAAAAAATATTGTGGCTCAGGACCTATTTCAGAAAAAAATTACATGTTCTTTTCAGCTGCCAACCATTCCCCATGCCGAGAGCAAAGGCACATGAACTCAGGGTCATGGCATCAGCTCAGAGGAAGCTGTTCAACTTAGGTACTGAAAGTGTGACCTCTAGCATCACAACCCCTTTCCAGACACCTACTATGGCTCCTAATCTTTGCACTGAAATTAGAAGTCTGGAGCCTCAATATTCATTGGATCTGAACCTATGTGACTTTTCCACAGCCAGAAACAAGAACTGAAAGCCTTCCCACACAACCTCATCTTCACTGCTTCTCATCTGTGTCATTTCAGGTGAAACACTACTTCCCCCAGCCCATATTTTGTAGATGCTCATAACATCTATCTTCTAACCCTATTCTAACATGTAATACCTTACCTGAATACTCCACACCTGTCCTTAATGAGTAAACTTAAATTCTTAATAAACATTAGCATTACTGGCAAATTTAGGCCAAATACAAAACACACTCCTCTCCTAGCCATAAAGTATTTCCTAAGAGTGAGAGGAAAAATATGACTTACAGCCACTTATTACCCTTCCATGTCTTTCCTCATTTTAGATGCCCTAACCAAATCATTAAAGAAATGTACATCTTTTTTCTCATAGCAAGGCTGTATTATTAAGCAAAGTGTGATTACAAGGTCAGTAACAGGCCTGTTCTCTGGCTGCAGAAGCTGGAGACCCACAAGCTTGGGGTGGTGGAAGGGAGTAAGGTCATGCTAAGAAAGATTTGAGGGAAACGGTAGATATTAAACTGATTATTTCTCTGTGGTTTGTGTCGATGCCTGATTATTTGGTCTAGTAACCTACACCCAAACTTGACAATTTTTCTGTATGCATACATACAAACACACACACACACACATGAAATACACACTTGTTCACTACATATGAATATCCCGTGCCATTTTATTTTCAGTCTTGGAGAAATTGAGAGAACATTGCCAAACGTGTTCTCAGTTCTACTCTGTAGAGGCCTGAACTAAAATTACGACTGAAAAGCAAATGCAGTGACCTTTAAAGGAATCAAGAAGAAGCTATTTCCAGTACATTACTAAATGCTATATTTTAAAGGTTCTAACCTTATTTGCTACAAGTGTATAATATCAGGAAAACCTTGTGAGTGAAGGTTCTGCATTCATCACATAGCCCAAGTCACTTACAGAAGAGATGGGGAAAGTTATTACTTTCCCCCTTGCAGACATTAAAGTTCAACCCCCTTTCCTGTAGTGTTTTGCAGCATTAAATAAGGTTCAGGGATCACTTTAAGAATTACAGGCTTCTCAACCTAACAAAAATACAGTTTCCTGCAAGCAGCCATAGATGCATCGTCAAACAGGGAGAGCAATTTATGAGATACGCATGTCCTACACAGCTCAAACAAGCTAAGGGGAACTGTGTACTGTTATCTGATATCGCCATAGCATAAACTTTATTGAACGAAATACTCTTTTATGAGAATTATAATAGAAATTGATTTACAAGATACAGTTTAAAAGTAAAAGATAGGACAACAAAAGACATGTCATAAACTTGAGGCCACCCTTAAGCCTGGACCTAATTGCATCAAATAAGTAAAAAGAAATGTATGATGGTGTGTTTGTGTAGTGCTTTATTTAACGTCTGACAGTCAACAAAGACTTTGTGTTTTGATGCTTAGAAAATCATAAAGTAAAATGTTAACTTTGCTTTATTTATTACTATTATTGATAGATTTATATTGTATCTTTCATATGTATAATGGTACTCTACACCAAATAAATGAGGGAGAGTAAAACCTTCACACAGCAAATAAAGAATGAAAGCAAGCAGAACCAGAAACATCAATAAAATGCAAAAGTGGTTAGTAAACAAGTGTGAGGTTTATCTGATTTTTTATAAGTTTGTCTGGAATTAGCTGTACGGGATATTGTGGTGTCAAATATTTCACCAGGTAAGTTTCTAATAAGAAAATACAACATATCAGGTAACAGACAAAGAGAAGAGGTGGAAAAAGGTAAATACTACAAACCAGAGATAAAATGTGGCCTGCACATGAGAATATAAATTGAGTCAGGAAACAGCACTAATAAAATATGCAAGATCTGAAATTCCTTAAAAAGCACTGTAACGTTTATAATCAAGAAATATCTAATACAAAGACAATCTTCTACCATTCAGATCTCATCCCTGCTATCTGAACCCCTGGCCCTGTAAGCTACAGTATGGGCTTAGCCATGAGCTTACAGTTAAGCACATAGTTTATAGAATCACTGTTACATATTACACGTGAAAATGAGAAAAAAGTTGAAGAAAAGCTCCAGAAATACTACACAGATTATTTTTTCACATTTAATACTTGGCCATTAAAAAATACCTCCATTTGTTTCAGAATAACCGGATTGTGCCCTTAAAGAGCTTAAAGAGTTACAGGCCCTGGATGAGCTTTAAAGCAGTACAGGAAATCACAGGCACAGATATGGTACTTGACCTTTAGTGGTGCAATGAAACCACTAAAATATATGTTAGGCTGCAA